GAGCCTCTGCGTGTTTTGCGGCGAACACTTACACGGTAAACAAGGTTTAAACCGCCCAGGCTTGTCACCGGCCCGTGGGGGGGATGATCCCTATGGGATGTCCATTGAGTTCCAATAGCCCCTTTGGGACACCACAAGGATAACAATAGGACGCCAATCCGGTTACAGCATGAGTCAAAGAGGACAGGTTCTTGTTAGTATACAATTGGTTATTGGTGCGATCCTAATAGTATGCCCGTATGGATCGAAAAGGAAGGATTCTGATTGGATTCCAGTGCGATATCCGTCCTATTCGCCAATATGGTTCAGATGAGATTCCAAGAGAAACGGTTCCTACTGATGTCGCATAAGAACCCAACACCCGCGCCCCACCCCGCCACCCACCCAAAATGTTCGGCGCCTGCGGCGGGCTTCTTTTGCATCTGTTCCAGGTGGAGAACCTGCGACCCACCCGCGACCCGAGACCCGAGAACTGCGACCACCCGCCCCCTCACTCTTATCCGCAATTGCGGGGTGCTATTCGTACCATGGTTCGAGACGGGTGCCGCGAGCCTCAGGACGCTCTTGGGCTGTCCTCGGCGCGTTGGTTATGCAAAGTTCCCCCGAAGAGACTCGGCGGGAGCATGTTGTGCCCGTCTGGAGAGGGCTTGCGGCCGTCTTCGAAAAGATTTGGTCAATGTGTGTGACACTGTGTGAAGGTTCTATGTCGTCCACAGGCCGTTATGTGGCCGCTTGGGCTGTATTATGCCGCTCCGTGATGTAGTTGGCCTTGGGCTGTATTGTGGCGACTACCTAGCCGCTTGATTAATGACCGCTGGATGATGAGGAGGGCATTTGTTGCTTGATTTGGGAGTGCCGCATCTTGGGTACAAGAAGGGTGGCATGGACCCCATGGATTCGTTATGTTTGGCCTCCTGAGGTTTTACTGGAGACTGTCTTGGAAGCCTCATGGTACATCCTGGTGGGCTGTTTGGACTTCCGTGCGCTCAGGGCGGTTCGGTGGGTTTCGAAGTCGTCTGCAAAAGTCTTGACTCCATCTGGGGAGTTGGTAGGGTCAGCTTGGGGCCGTATGTGTCGGTATTGAGGTCTAGAGGAGCGACCCGAAGCAAAAGCCAGTGGGCGCTAACGTGTAGGGTGTACCGCGTGTGAGGGGATAGGGTGGTGCTGGAAGCGTACAGAAATCGTTCCAGACGGCAGCCACGCATATGAAGACACTCTAACGTTTCACAGGGCAGGGTGGCGGAGGCACGATGCGCGTGTACAGTCACTCACGCACACAGGTATAAGTTTCCACCAGGATGGTTGCACACGTTTCTATTATACGCCATGAACGAACGCCCACATGGTGGCGCGTATACGTGCACCCGTTCTTGCTCATAGTAACAGCGTTTCCGTATGCACACACGCATGCAGGTACTTTCGCGTCAGTAATCGTCAGGCTTACCCAATGTGGAAGCGCCCATTCTCTCTGTAGGTTGGTGGGGATAGCTTGTAAAAGAGCTGCGGCGAATTCTGTCAGCACCGAAGCCAGTGGAGAACATGACTGCTGTGAGATGTGATCCTTCCCCTGTCGTTCCCTGCTTCTCTTCCTCCCCGTCAGGCCATGGAGGCCACGCTCGCGTTCCTGAAGGAGGAGCTGCAGCCTGGCGGCTACCTCCCCTGGGCGGACGTAGCTCGACGAGACCCGAGGCTCCACGGGGACAGTCGGAAACCAAGCGGACGCTGGGCGGTGTGATGATGGGGTTCCCCGTGCGAGGTGTAGAGCGAGCACAGGGAATCGGGAGTTGCTGTAGGCGTGCCCTCGCCACCCTTGCGGTAAAGGCGTCCACTTCGGCCAGTGACGCGTCAGCATGTTCACAACAAGATATGTGCATGAGGGTATCGGATGCCCCGTGATTACTGGCAGGCGAGCCAGATCTGCGGAGCTCCCCCCGGCCATACGGTCTGGCCAGCTCCAGCTGGACGGAACGCTGGCCGCGACGGCCTGCCCCAGTGCGGCTTCAAGCGCACGGCGCGAGGGCTGTTTTTTTGCCGGCGTGCCGAGGGGTGGCCGCCTCACGCACCGCCAGCGCCTGCTCGTGGGATGGGCAGGCCGACGGCCCTCCGCCGCTGGCCTCCCGAGGCGGGCCAGCTCCTGCCTGCCTGGTCGCGCCCTCGCGGGGAGCCTGCGGCAGTCTGGAGCACATGCGTCACCCACACCCATTTCGGCACACCCCTCACACGCTTCGTGGCTCCATAGGGAGCTCCACCGAAGGCCCCAGAGCCCGCGCCCGCATGCGTCACCCACACCCATTTCGGCACACCCCTCACACGTTTCGTGGCTCCACAGGGAGCTCCACCGAAGGCCCCAGTGCCCGCGCCCGCATGCGTCACCCACACCCATTTCGGCACACCCCTCACACGTTTCGTGGCTCCATAGGGAGCTCCACCGAAGGCCCCAGAGCCCGCGCCCGCATGCGTCACCCACACCCATTTCGGCACACCCCTCACACGCTTCGTGGCTCCATAGGGAGCTCCACCGAAGGCCCCAGTGCCCGCGCCCGCATGCGTCACCCACACCCATTTCGGCACACCACTCGTGTGGCGCGGTGTGCCCTGTGGTGCAGAGCAGATGCGACGGGAGAGGGGATTGGGGGGAGGAGGCGAGGCGCGCGAGCAGGCAAGCAGCCCGGCGGCAGCTGCAAGGCTTGGTTCCCGAAGGGGGCCCGCTGACTCGGTTTGAGTGCGTCTTTGGCTCGGCAGTGCTTGACGCTCGCTTGTGTGCGCTTCGGTTCAGCACCATATTGCATTGAATCATGCTTAAACTTCGTTTTAGGACTGTCTACAGTTAGCCCAGCTAATTTTCTCGCCTGCTCGGCTACCTGCCAGCTTGGCGTTGTATCAGTGCACCTTTGGCTGGCTTTGTCACTGGTGCGTTTTGGTTTGGATTGAAACCGACTACACTGAGAACGAACTGTGCAGTGCCGCTGCAGTGTGTGATGCTGTTGCAGGTGGCGACCGCCTTTATTGCCTGGATCGGCTCTGAGCCGGCGTCGGGCGGCGATGGAAGTGTTGGTCTGCACACTCATGAATCAGATCCTCAGGCGGTCAGGTCCAATTGGCGCGATCGTTATTTTTGCCAGTGGTGATGCGCGCCGATGCCCTGGTGTGACGTGGCATGGGAATGCGTGAGACACTCGGAACAGTCGGGGTGCTTGCAATGGTTTTGTCGAGTTGCTTGGTGTGCGGCGGCTGTCCCATCCAATCCGTCAGGCGTGCTGCTTTGCGCCACACATTCTGCACTGTCAACGTCATCTATTCCCCTTCCCTTCCCTCACATTCCTGTTTCTTTTTCCTCTGCACAGCGATTGACGGGTGATTTCTTGAAGAGGCTCTTCGCGACGACAGTAGAGGAGCTTCGTCCGACGCTGGACTGGTTGGAGGAGTGCCTGCTTCTTGTCGCTGCATGTTGCCTTTGTGTCGGCCTTCAGATTTACACCAGCCAGTGGGACGAACTATATGAGTGGCGTAAGTACGGATGCAATGAAGCAGCCACGAGGGCTTGTTACGACGAGCTATTGCGCGGTGAAGTTCATTCCGCCTCCGGTTAATTCATGGGTTGCCGCTTGTGGAGTAGAGGTTGAGTGCGGAGAGTTGTCGTTTACACTCGGATGTTCGCGCGAGGAAAAGCGCTCATGGTATATGCAGTAGGTATGGCTCAATTGTTGCCCGTACACGGCCTCTGTTTACGCGTGCATTAGGCCTATGATTTGTTTGAACGCGCGTGAGTATGTGTGACGATTTGGTGCGAGCTGGCACGTCGTACATATAGTGTTACTTGTAATTGCGCGGATATGCAGCCACATCATGTGAAGCGGGTGAGTATAACGTAGCATATGTTAGATTTGTTTAGTGATCGAGGCTCAACGTGATGCGGTGCAATCTGCGAACATACTGAAACAGCTCGCTCGAGGGCATTGGTGCCCTCTGAGATTACTGAGCCACAGCTTTATGAGTCTGAACCAGCGCGTGCCAAATCGGTAATGTAGAATCAGTCGTCCTAGCTTGTTGGATCGAATAACACCAGAGAACAAACCCAATCAGTGGATGGCTTGAAAATTTGTAATATGGATGTTGAGATCGATTGTGAGATCGACTGTGAGATCGATTGTGAGATCGATAGAGAGGTGGGAAACGAGATGAATGTTGATACCGATCGATAAGAAGATCGACCATGAACCCGGGAACCCCGCCGCCCACCGAAGTCGGCCCGGAATTGGGAACCCAGGAACCCGGAACCGGGACCCCAGGAACCCGGCTGCCCACAGGAATCGGCCAGAAATTTGCGCCAAATTTGTCAATCTCCGCTAGGACCCCTTCAGTGCAAGCACTGATTGGGGAACTATGTGTTGAAACGCACTATCTGGGATGCTGCGTACATCATGCCAGTGCGTAGCTGGCAGATTATTCGGTCCTGCTGAAAGGAGGCTCAATATCAACTTGTGTTTCAGGCCTGGTGCCGTTCGCACGGCGTGAAATTCCATACCCTTGACTCTTGTAAGTATCAGAGACGTTGGATGTTCCTGCAAATATCTTTAAGTGGACAGTCTGAGTCAAGATGGGAGACCACTGTTGGCGCATCCAGCCAATCGTGATGTTGTTGGTTCGGCTCCGTACTGTCCTACATCATGTGTCGAATATTGATTATGTTCGGCTCTTGCTTTCAGCCTCGGATAGGGTGGCCCCTGTGCGTAGATGAGTGATGAAAGTGCCAGGCGATGGCGGCACATCAGTCAGGATCATTGCGTGTGGGCTTCATCTTGCATTGTCTGCTTGCGCGGATCCGATATCCAGCGTCTTTGCGGATGTATTCTTCGAAGTTCGTGGGTGTTTGCTGCGCGCTGGCCGCAAGTCCAGCGCGGTCAGCGGAGCGCCGTGTCGAAAGACGCCTCGTGGACCCTCCGCGCCCGTCCTCTCCGCGGACACTCTTCGCTCGCACGCCTGGTTGCAGGGCTGGTTGGGGGGACTGGAGCGCTTGGTGGCACGCGCGCGCGCTGCGGCATGGCGGTGGCCGGTGCTCGGACTATCCGGCCAGGAGTTCCTGTGGAACCAGGACTGGGCCGTCGGCGGCGGGCGCCAGGCTCTCTCGGATGCGATCCAGCACCGGCCCGAGCTCCTGTACCGCGGCGTGGGGCCCGCAGCCCAGTGGCCAGGGGGGAGTCGGGGTGGGGGTGCGAACTGGGCGGAGCTCATGGGCACAGCTTGTAGTCATCGCTGTGTCTGTTCTTTCAGTATGCCCTCCTGCCTCCGCTCGCCCGCGCGCATGCTTCAGGCCATGCTTCTTCCTGGCCCTCCTCCTCGGCGCACACGAAGATTCGGCAGCGCTTCGACTCGCGGTAAGGCTTCTGCACTTGAGAAAACTCAACAGCGCATTCAAAGAGCTTCTGGCATTGCCTGGTGAATCTCAAGAGCAAGATCGGTGTGGGTCAGAGTGCGAAGCCCCTGGCGGCCCTCTGGCGGCCTCGGGTGGCCCTCTGGCGGCCGCTGGTGGCCCTCTGCTTGGAGGGGCCGTCAGATCGGGGACGCGCGTGGGGCTCTCGGAGGGGGAGTGCGTATTGAGGCTTGCCGAGCCAAGCTCGGGGCGCTTTGGGATAGTCTTGAGCCGTATTGAGGGCGTCCCGACAAGTTGGGAGGCACGGGCGGCATCATGGGGGCATCTTGGAGAGGTGCTGGGCAATGGCGGGCTATCTACGGGCCAACGTGGAACTTGTTGCGCTATTTTCTGGGCCATCTTGATATATATACATATAACGGCGCACCGGGTCCGGGGGCCCGGGGCCGGGACCTCTACCACAAATGTGCGCCCCGGGGGGCCCGGAGGCTCGTCGGGGCTTGCCGGAGGCCTCCCCAGTCAGACAAGACGGCCCAAGAAGCGCCCAAGACGGCCCAAGAAACTTCCAAGAGGCCTCCAAGAGGGCTCCGAGATGCTGAAGATGGCCTCCAGACGTCCAAGGAGGCCCCCAAGAGGCCCCAAGAAGCCTCCAACATGCGTCCCAAGAGGGCCCCTAGACGCAAAAATTGGCCCATTCCCTTCGTAAAACGTACATTTTCAACAAAGTTGTCTTTTGGGCTTTCCGACGTTACAGGACGGCCCAAGAGGCGCCCAAGACCGCCCCAAGACGGCCCAAGAAGCTTCCAAGAGGGCCCCAGGACAGCCCAAGAGGGCCCCAAGACGGCCCAAGAGGCGCCCAAGATGGCCCAAGAGGGCCCCAAGACGGGCCCAAGAGGGGGCCCAGAGGGGGACCACGAACCGCAAGCTCGAGCCTTCCGCCCCAAGAGGCCGCCAGGAGGCCCCCAGGAGGCCCCTCAAGAGGCCCCAGGAGACCCCAGACGTCCAAGGACGCCCCCAAGAGGCTCCAAGAAGCCTCCAACATGCGTCCCAAGAGGGCCCCTAGACGCAAGAATTGGCCCATTCCCTTCGTAAAACGTACATTTTTAACAAAGTCGCCTTTTGGGCTTTCCGACGTTACAGGACGGCCCAAGAGGCGCCCAAGACCGCCCCAAGACCGCCCAAGAAGTTTCCCAGAGGGCCCCAGGACAGCCCAAGAGGGCCCCAAGACGGCCCAAGAGGCGCCCAAGATGGCCCAAGAGGGCCCCAAGACGGGCCCAAGAGGGGGCCCAGAGGGGGACCACGAACCGCAAGCTCGAGCCTTCCGCCCCAAGAGGCCGCCAGGAGGCCCCCAGGAGGCCCCTCAAGAGGCCCCAGGAGACCCCAGACGTCCAAGGACGCCCCCAAGAGGCCCCAAGAAGCCTCCAACATGCGTCCCAAGAGGGCCCCTAGACGCAAAAATTGGCCCATTCCCTTCGTAAAACGTACATTTTCAACAAAGTTGTCTTTTGGGTTTTCCGACGTTACAGGACGGCCCAAGAGGCGCCCAAGACCGCCCCAAGACGGCCCAAGAAGCTTCCAAGAGGGCCCCAGGACAGCCCAAGAGGGCCCCAAGACGGCCCAAGAGGCGCCCAAGATGGCCCAAGAGGGCCCCAAGACGGGCCCAAGAGGGGGCCCAGAGGGGGACCACGAACCGCAAGCTCGAGCCTTCCGCCCCAAGAGGCCGCCAGGAGGCCCCCAGGAGGCCCCTCAAGAGGCCCCAGGAGACCCCAGACGTCCAAGGACGCCCCCAAGACGCTTCGCGTCACCAATTTCTTCTCGCAACGATTCCTGGGTCTGTGACTCGACAGAACCTAAGCGCGCGCGAAGCGCGCGCGTGGTTCTAGACTCCATGACTACATGACGGAGATACGCATCAATGGCGACCCAGGGCTCCAGGACAAGGCCATCTTTGACGACCTCATGCGCCACGTCATGCAGAGCACGGGGATCAATCTGAAGGCTTTTGACAGAAAGGAAACCACGCCGTCGGGCTTCTGGAAGCACTTGGCCTCCTACGACCCCGCCTGCCCGCCAGGCCGCGCCTGGCTCTACCTCGCCAACCGCGCGGAAGTGGGGAAAGTGCATGGGGCCCTCCACGGCCAAGTATTGCAGGTGGGCGATGATTGGCTGGCCATCTCGGTCCATAACGACCTCCTCGACGCAAGCGCTCTGGAGGGAAACGGGCCGAGGGCGCCTCCGGCTGTCCCCGAGCGCCCGTAATCAGAGCGGACCGCGCGTGCATGCCTGTTGGAATTCAAGTGTTTGAAGCTGGCGGCCATTCCCGCTACGTGCTGGACCTCGTCATCCCCCGTCCGCGACTCGTTTGGGCCGCCAGGTGAGGTGCGCCAGATTTCGGCGACTGGTGATGGGGCCGCCCAGCTCTCACAAGACCGCACGTGCGTCACCGCCCCCACGCTGCCCCCCCCCTCCTTCGTTCGCGTACATGCCACATCACCCTATGCCACGACTACGCCCACAGCTTCCTGCCCGACCACTCTGTCGCCTTCCTGGGATGCACCCCTACAGCGATAGCACTGCCGTTCAGCTGCAAAAACACGTCCCCATTCAGATCCTACGTCGGCAGGCCTTGCGGCGCGCATTGCGTGGCACGCTGATCGAAGGGCCATGCTGATCCGGGGAGTTCATCGGCGACCAGCCCAGTGGGCCACACTTTCTGCGCAGGCGGGGCGGAGTGTCTCCAGAACAGCGCGGTTTCTCGCGCGGGCGTTCCACGCTGGCCAGCGTCATCGGCATCGAGGAGAAGATGCTGGCAGACGCGTGCCGCGAGGACTTTCCCCTGGCGGTCTTCCTGGACTTCGAGGCGGCGTTCCCAAGCCTCGACCAGACCTTCCTCCAGCGCGTCCTGGCGGAGCGGGGATGGCCCCTCTGGTTCTGGCGTTTCGTGACAATCCTCTATACCAGCAACTTTTGCCAGCCTTCCCCCTGTGGGTTCACAGACGCCGGCTTTGGCGTTATCGCTGGGGTTCGACAGGGCTGCCCTCTATCTCCTCTTCTGTTCACCATCATGTCGGACGTGGTGTGATTCGCCGCCTCTGCCCCGAGGTGATTTTACGCGCATGCGCGGACGACATTGCCCTCGTCCTCTACAGGGGCCCCGCATATGGTGACTTGTTAGAGCCGATCTTCTACGAATGCGGCCTCGTCTCAGGCCCTCGCCTACACAGTGGCAAGTCCATCATTGTGCCGCTCTCCCTGCACACGCGCGAGCAGGTACGTGCTGCGGTCGCCGCGGCGGCGACCAGGTGGGGCGCCTTCACCATCTCCAGCCACGCGAAGTACCTTGGCTATTGGCTGGGCCCCGCCCGGGGGGTGCGCCTCTGGGGCGAGGTGTTCCAGGCGATGCAGGGCCGCGCGCGGACGTGGAACAAGATTGGCGGGGGCTTGCTCGCGACGCTGGCAGCGCACCGCATGCACATCCTGCCGCTCGCGGGTTTTGCGGCGCAGCTTGACCGCTTACCCCCGCACTGGCCGCAGACAGAGCGACGGCTCCTCGCGGCTCTCTTCCCCGGAGCCCAGGGCTGGGCTACCCCAGGTCTCCTGCAGCACCTCCAGAGATTGGGATTCGCTTCAGAATTCCCCAGTGCGGAGGCCATGGCGCAGGGGGCGAAATGTCGTGTCTTTCGTTGGGGAAACATGACGCATGGCGGACTGCGAATTACCCGTCGTGCGCGGCGTCTGCAGCGTGCCCGCTCTTCCTCGGACCACTTGCAGCGCCTCGCCACCTGGGCCCAATGGTCCGACGGCAACTTCATCAGCACGGCCCTCGAGGCGCAGCACCGGCTCGAAGCGACGGCGACGTCCCAGGGGCCCTCCGTGGACTTGCTGCTGCAGGTTTTTCCACATCCCCCACCCCGAAGCAGCGATGGCAGCGCCGATGTGGAGAAATACTCTGCGCCCGTGACACGCAGGGTCTCTTCCGGCACCCGCGCCGCAGACTGGACCAGCTGCCTTTGCTCACTCTGCCGGGGCGCCGGGTGCAGCGCTTCGAAGATGCACTCCGCCGCCTTGGGCTACTGGTGCCGTCCTGCGTTTGGGCCGGTGTGCTCAAATCGTTCTTGGATGGTTGGACCACCAAGCCAGCATCGCCGTGCCTCTTCGGTTGCCAACGTGGGCATGACGACCTCCGACACTACTCCTACTGCCCCGTCGTGGCGCGGTTCTACCGTGCGCAGCTGTGCCTCCAGCAGGGTCCCCCAACATCGAGACTGGACGAGTTCCTAATGCTGGACGGAGCGCCGCCGCGCACGTTGGCCCTCCGTGCTCTCGGTCTGCGCGCGACCTCCAGGGCCACCAACGCAGCGCGGCACGGGCAGACCTCCGCCACGGGCGATTGGCCGCGGGCGGTGGCAAACGGCGTGGCCTTCCGGGCCCCTTTGTCCGAGCATTTCGCCAACCGGGCCCGCTAAGGCAGCAGCGACACCTACAGCAACCACTACTTCAACGTCTGAAAGCGGTCGTGGCAAGGCCTGTCTCCGCTCGCCTCCCCTCCTCCCCTCCCTGCTCCTGTGTTGTATTCCTTCGAATCATCGCCAAGTTGGTCCTTGTGTTCCACCCCCCCCCGCCATGGCAGTTGCTCTTCTCTCTTGTGCCGGTGGCTTCGCACGCGTGGTATCCTCGACAGTTCCCGGCTTCCGCCGACCAGCCATAAGGGTTGCGACATGCTCTCTTTCCCCTCTCCCTTCTCCCCTCCTCCCCTCCTCTCCCTCCCTCGTCTCCCCCTTCGTCTGCGCTTCTCTTCCTTTGACACTTTCGTATTCTGATGAGTCGCCACTGTGTGCGGCACCCTTACGAGCACGCCGTTGGTCAGTTGGGAGCCCGGATTCGCGGGGGTCGGTTGGCGCTGGCCCGGGATTTGCTCAGTCATTTCCGTTGTCCTCCTCCTCCCCCTCCTCCTCCTCCTCCTCCTCTCCTCCCTCGTCCTCTTCTCCCCCCCCGCGCGACCGTCCAGACCGCTGCGGCGGAAACTTCGAGAGGCTAGGGCAAGGCTCCTCGTTTCAGGCACGAGTGCGTGGCGGCATCCGGATTTTCACGCATGCGCGCGTGTGTGGCGGCATCCGGGTTTCACACATGCGCGGCAGTAGATGATACGATTTGGAGCCACTTTCGTATCAGTCCTGCCACGAACCCGACGGCCGCTTTGGGCCGCCCACCAAGGCCGGACACTTTACGACGAAAATGCCCGGTCTTGCGATTTGTCGTAAAGTGTCTGGCGCTCGCCTGGTTCCACACAACAGAATAATCTGTATTGGATGGGGCGAGCGCGTGCGAACGTCGCCACAGGGGCCTCCGGTGGAGCTCCCTGTGGGGTCACGAAGGGTTGTATTGGGCGGGGCGGACGCATGCGAACGCCGCCACAAGGGCTTTCGGTGGTCTCCCCATGGGGCCACAAAGCGGTGTACTGTGTACTGGGTGGGGCGGACGCATGCGAGCGTCGCGACTGGGGCAGTCGGTGGAGCGTATCATGGGGCCACGAAGCGTTGTTCCCCACATGTTTCGTGGGGTTGTTGTTTTCTTCCCTGCCGCGTCGCACCTGCGTCTCCTCACACACACCTCCCCTCCTCCCCCCTCCCCTCCTCCGCCTGCTTCCTGCGCTTAACACGCCCACGGCACGTACATGAGACACGAGTGAGACACGCGTGGCGCGTTCACTGCATTATACATTCAACACGCATGCACAACGTACTGGGCACCCACATGTGGTACCCCCATCACAGACGTGCGTGTAGGATTCGCAGTGCATGGCAGGAGGCTCTATGCGGGCCATGGCGCAGAACAGGCGTTGCACTTTCTCAACATACAGCCGCAGGGCACGCGAGTGAAACACGCGTGGCGCGTTGACTGCATCATGCATCCAAGACGCATGCACACAATACTGGGTACTTTCTCGACACCAGAGGGGGTGCGAAGGGGGTGGTCTTTCAGCGCGGCCTCTATGGGTGCCAGGGTCGGAGAGCTTGGCAGGCGTGGCGCTTTCTCGATACCATAGGGGGTGCGCAGGAAGTGGTCTCTCACCGCGGCCGCTATCCGTGACGGTCGTCCAGGGCACAGCAGGCATGGCATATCATCGACACCATGGGGGGGGCGCAGGGGGTGGTTTCTCACCGCGGCCGCTATCCGTGACGGTCGTCCAGGGCACAGCAGGCATGACATATTCTCGACACCATAGGGGGTGCGCAGGGGGTGGTCTCTCACCGCGGCCGCTATCCGTGACGGTCGTCCAGGGCACAGCAGGCATGGCATATTCTCGACACCATAGGGGGTGCGCAGGGGGTGGTCTCTCACCGCGGCCGCTGTCCGTGACGGTCGTCCAGGGCACAGCAGGCATGGCATATTCTCGACACGATAGGGGGTGCGCAGGGGGTGGTTTCTCACCGCGGCCGCTATCCGTGACAGTACCAGGGCACAGCAGGCATGGCATATCCGTGGCACCGGGTCCGGGGGCCCGGGGCCGGGACCTCGACCACAAATGTGCGCCCCGGCGGGCCCGGAGGCTCGTCGGGGCTTGCCAGAGGCCTCCCCGGTCAGACAAGACGGCCCCAGAAGCGCCCAAGACGGCCCAAGAAACTTCCAAGAGGCCTCCAAGAGGGCTCCGAGATGCTGAAGATGGCCTCCAGACGTCCAAGGACGCCCCCAAGAGGCCCCAAGAAGCCTCCAACATGCGTCCCAAGAGGGCCCCTAGACGCAAAACATTGGCCCATTCCCTTCGTAAAACGTACATTTTCAACAAAGTTGTCTTTTGGGCTTTCCGACGTTACAGGACGGCCCAAGAGGCGCCCAAGACCGCCCCAAGACGGCCCAAGAAGCTTCCAAGAGGGCCCCAGGACAGCCCAAGAGGGCCCCAAGACGGCCCAAGAGGCGCCCAAGATGGCCCAAGAGGGCCCCAAGACGGGCCCAAGAGGGGGCCCAGAGGGGGACCACGAACCGCAAGCTCGAGCCTTCCGCCCCAAGAGGCCGCCAGGAGGCCCCAGGAGGCCCCTCAAGAGGCCCCAGGAGACCCCCAAGAGGCCCAAAGGAGGCCCCGAGAAGCCCCAAATCGGCCCCCACAATGCTTCGAACCTGCTTCCAGGAGGCCCCCGACAGGTTCAGAGGCTCCCAAGAAGCTACGTCAAACTCCCAGCGAGCGGCCGGACGAGGCCCCCCAAAAAATCCCAAGAGGGTTCCAGTATTTGTATCCTTCAGCGCTCTCTGGCCTTCTTCCCCCTGCCCCCTTCCCTGCGACTTTCGTTGACTCAAGCTCGCCTCCTCTCCATTTCCTCTCTCTGCCTCTCTCTCTCTCTGTCTTCTTCTCTCTCTCTCTCTCTCCATCTCTCTCTCTCTCTCTCCTTCGCTCTCTGTCTGTCTGTCTCTCTCTCCCTCTCTTTCTCTCTCTTTCTCTTTCTTCCTTTCAGATTCCGTGTCCTTGCGACCTTCTGCAGTCCCCGACGTCGCCACGGCTGGATCCGCTCGAGCGTGTCTTGTGATGTGCGGCGGTGCGAAGCCCGTCCCACTGATCAAGGCACAGGTACGAAATGATGGGTCCATCATTTCTTGCCTTCCCATGTGCGTTTTCCCAATCGATTCCTGGGCCCGAGGTCGCAAAAATTACGACGTCGGAGGTCTGGGGAGGCGGGAAGCACGACCTGGACCTCCGACGTCTTGGAAAAATCACGACGGCGGCCCCGGTCAATTTTCGGCCTCCGGGGCCCCTCGCAGGGTCCCGGGACCGTCAGAAAACGACTCAGGATGAAAAAAAAACACATCCCCCCGCGCACAGAAAGCATCACGACATCGGACGTCCAGAGAGGAGGTAGGAACACGAGGAGGAGGGAGCCCAGACCTCCTGGCGACGCAACACCAAAGACAACAAAAGCTTCCCCGCGACTTCCCCCAGAGACTCTAACTACAGAAACTTCTTTCGCATTCCGGCCAGAAGCATCCAGAAACGATGTACATTAGCCTTGGCGGGGGGAATGATGGCGATGGTGATGTTCATGATGACGACGGTGACGATCCTAGCTAGAACCTAAGCGCGCGCGAAGCGCGCGCGTGGTTCTAGTATATATATATATATATATATGTTCGGAGCATGTTCGGGGCATTTTGAGGTCTCTGGGGGTCAACTGCACATCTGAAGGCTTACTCGGCCTCTTGCTTCGAAAAGCGTGACAAAACAAACCAGCTGTAGAACACAATGGTATTACGTATTCGATGTTCAGTGGGGATAAGATTGCAGCCCAATGTTGGCAGTGTTGATGACCAACTGGCACGTGTCGGGCATAAGCCGGAGCGTTCTTGGGGCGTACAGGAAGTTTGGCTTTGTTCCCGTGGCCTGTATCCGCGGCCCAGTGCGAATGGCACGGGAAGCCCTGTGGCTTCCCGTTCCACCGTCCCTGTGCGCGTGGTACTTCTGGCTTCCCGTTCCGATGTCCCGTTCTACTGTCCCGTTCCGCCGTGGCCTCTCCGCAACGGGCCCTGTCTGTTGCACGTGTCCCGCGGTGGCCGCTTGGCCTCCTACGGTTCGGCCTCCTACGAATCCCTACGGCTTCCAGCCTCGCTGGCCCCGTGCGTGTGGCACTTTGGGCTAGACGCGTAGCTTCCGATGGCTTGGCTTCGTGTTGCCACATAGATTGCAGAGCAAGGACTGTGCCACCTGGAATGCACCGCGTAGGCTGCCTGTAGCTAGCCCACTCAGTGCCTTCGGCACGGTGGCGGACTTCCCGACAGACAACCTTAGGCGGAGGAAATGCGACCCAGGGGTTTCGGAAAGGTTACCATTTGCGCTGCCGCGCGATGCCACCGCCCGTGAGGGCTCGGTGGGGGCGCCCGGGGGGCGGGGGACATGACATGGAACCCTCTTCCAGGGATCTAATATTTGGCAACCTGTTCTGCCTGGAAGGCCAAAAAACGCAGATACTTGGTCATGAGAATGAGCGCATCTTGAGTTCGATGCATCGGGGGGTGCCGAATTGATGTATCGAAAGCAGCGAAAGGGCCCAACACACGCACGCACACGCACACGCACACGCACACGCACACGCACACACACACACACACACACACACACACACACACACACACAACACACACAACACAACACAACACAACACACACACACACAACACACACACAACACACACACACACACACAAACACACACACACACACACACAGACACACCCCTCGCTGCAAACGCGCTGGCAGGATTTTGGGGTTTGGGAGTTGCGTGCTCAGCAACAAACAGGATTCGGCGACGAGCCGAGGGGGGAAGTCAGAGGGTCACGCCTTCTCAGCAGGCGGCGGGGCTTCTCAGAAGCCCTCCAGCCTTCAGAGATACCCTCCTGTGGCTTCGGAGAAGGCTTGGGAAGCTCTTCAGAAGGCCAGCGGCCGTCGGAGCCTCTGAGAAGGCCCGCCCCCTCTGCCTTCCCCCTGGGCGCCAGGGTACCAGCTGCTGCTCGCCATTCAACTGATCGCTGTTCCTCCAGCCGCCCTTTCCCCCGCGAGCCGCCCGATCCATGGAGCCAAGGTCTCTCGAGGACACCGTGGCGTGGTTGGAGCAGCATGGCCTCGACGACGAGGCTGTCAGAGAGTACGTGCCCGGCTCAGCAAATGGCAGCCTGGATGGGGGGAGCTCGCGCCGCAGGACGATTCTGCGCCAGGGAGGGTCTCGTGACAGGGGGCGGGACCGAGTGGGCGGAGAAATGTGCTCGCGGGAGGAGGTGAGGAAGTCTCGGGCGGAGCCGTTAGTATTGTTGTCCAGGGGCCCAACAAGTTATGGGGATAAACGGATGAGCACTGGCCAGGGGGGATCAAGCAGAACAGTTCTTCATATCCCAAGCATGGGGCTCGTTATTAGTGTGACGCTTCCGCCTTCTCACCCACTCACTTACTCACTCCCGCCTCTCTCTCCAATCAGATCACTCATACACAGGCTCACTCCCAGTCAGACGCACTCAGACTCATATTTTTTCAAAGCTTCATTGACTCATAACCACTCACACTCGCAATAATCCACGATCATATTCACTCACACTCATACCCACCCAGATCTAGAGTCATTCATACACAGGCCGTTCACATTCAGAGACATTCACAGGCTCACTCATACTCATACTCATTCATTGTATAACCCATTCACATGTAGGTTCACTTACATTCGGTTCACTCGTACTCGAAAATTCCACGCGGACGCAGAGTCCGACTCACTCATATTCAGACCCACGCATATTCAAATGCCACCTGGGCACGCGACGCGAATTCCATATTCGGATTCTCTCACACTCAAACTCACTCACCCCAAAGGGGGGTCCGCCAGGGGGTCGAGAAGCCAGAGCGGTCTCCGCCGTGGACAACGTCGCCCGCATGGTGGCCAAACAAAGCGTGCTCCCAGGGAGCGCAGTGCACCAGGCCAACGAGATGTGCAACAACCTGAAGGAAAGCTTGGCCCGCTGCGTAGACAACCCCGCACAGCAGCCGACTGCGCCAACGACGTATCCAGAATACCACCTCGCGCTGAATCCGAACTCTGGCATTGTGCACAGGATCGTGGCGGGGACCACGGTGCCCACGCCGTGTGGTTGGGTCATCGCGCATGGTTGAAAACCATCAGATCCAGCATCGGCGTCAATGGACCATGCCTTACCGTCGTCCTACAAGAAGATGTGCTGCAAGTGCCTTCCGGCAGAACGCGCAGGGGAGCAAGCGACCGCCCTGTATAAGGAGCTCCTTCGCCTTGCCCAGGATGGCTCAATAGGGGGGTCCAGCAGTCGTCCCAACCTGACCAGACCTATCCCCGAGCAGGGCCGCACCGCAATGGAAAAATGAGGCCAGAGTAGCATAAGGGCGGTGGAGAGGGACAGCACACACAATTGTTGTTGTGGCATCGAAGGCTTGCGCGTTTTGCGTAGCCCCTCTGCCTAGGCATGAGGCTTTGCTCCAGCTCGTCCGCCTTCTGCTTATGTGGGTCCTGTGTCCGGCGCTGGCCGTGGAGACTGACCTAAGCACGCACGAGCGACAGCACACACAATTGTTGGATAAAACACGATGCGCTGCAGATAACAACTGTCAGCGCGTTGGCGGCGGGGGGTCCACATGGCCCCATCCCCTGGCCAAGCCTTCGGAGGACCAGGTTCGGTTTCATCCTTCGGGCTCATGGCACTTGGGGACATACCTTATCCCGCGCCGTGAACTGTCCCAGATACAGCCTGGCCAAGCGGGCCCATGTAGCTCTCGAAGTATCCTCCCATCTGTCGCTTTTAGATATCATTACTATTATCCCCTATGTTTGTGATTGTTGATGCTTCGCGTGTCCCCACCAGCTAGAGTTTGGACGCCTTTTGACCCGCTTCACGAGGCCGTTGACCAAAAAGTATCCCCACCAGCCTGGTCCCCAGACACTGCCACACCCTGGCCGTGTTTGCAGCTGCCGCCTTGCAATGGTGGGATGCACCTCCACGTGGTTTGCTCATGAGTGGTTTTACCTCCTTGCTCAACCACCAGAGGTTGCCACTGTTGGCATGCGACACAGGTACGCTGGGTTGCTTGCTCAGCCCCGCGCTCCGCCGTGCTCTGCTCGCGTGGTTCGTTTACTTCTGGCGCCTGGCGCGACAAGGTACAATTCGTTTGCCTTTTCTCGGTGGTATCTTACCTGGGATGGTTGCACTTCAGTCGCCTGGCACACCTGGCACCTCTTGCAGCTCTGCCTTCAGTCCCCGGCGTTGCTCGGCGCCCCTCGGCGGCAGCCCCGGCGGCCGTTAGTTCGCGCGCTTAGGTAATTAGGTTTGGCTCGTAGTCCGGGTTGACTTCGGACGCCGCCTGCGCTTCCGCTTGCGGCCGCGACGGAAAAAAATCCCCACCAGCCGGTCGCCTCTGTGCTTTTCGCCCGTTGACGCCGCCCGACCTTCTCGCCGCGGTCGCGATCAAAAGTATCCCCACCAGCCCATCCTGAAACGATGCCCATGAGAGCTGACGGGGGGAGAGAGGAAGAGACACGCATAGTCAAACAGCCAAGAAAGCCGGCCTGGACAGCGTGTTGGGGCCATCTCCGGGGCCGCATGGGAGGGTGGGGGGGGCGAAGAGGAGGAGGAGAAGGAGGAGGAGCAGGAGAAGGACGGAGGGAGGAGGCGAGAGTTGCAAGACGAGGAGAAAGAGGACGAGGATGAGGAGGACGAGGACTATGAGAGTGAGGAGGAGGAGGAGGAGGAGGAGGAGGAGGGGGAGGAGGAAGAAGGGGAGGGGGAGGAGGAGGAGGAGGAGGAGGAGGAGAAGGAGGAGGAGGAGGACGAGGACGAGGACGAGGGGGAGGATGAGAACGAGGAGGAGGAGGAGGAGGAGGAGGAGGAGGAGGAGGGGAAGGAGGAGGATCTTGAGGCCTCTTGGAGCATCTTGGGAGCCATCTTGAGCCAGCTTTGACTATTTTGACCCATCTTGGAGGTCATCTTGCTCTCTGAGGCCGTTCGGGGGCCTCTTGGGAGCCTCTCGGGGGCCTCTTAGAGCCCTCTTGGGGCCTCTTGGGGTGCTCGTGGGACCCTCTTGGGAGCCTCTTGGGAGCCCTGGAGGCCCTCTTGGTCTTGGGGCCATCTTGAAGGCGGTCGGTCAAACAAGGGTGGGTCCTCGATGTGCGTCCCCCCCTCGGGGGCCACCATGCTCGTGAGGGGTGTCAAAAGTTGGCCCTCCCACTGACCGAAAAAAGAGCCTTCGACACATTGCGAAACTTCAGAAAAAAACCTCACGGAGGGGAGGGGAGGGCTCCCCTCCCCGAAGGGAAGAGGGCTTGTGGAAGAAAAAAGAGATCACCCTTAGACCACCTGTCGCCCAAAGGGCTGGTGGGATTACTGCGCATTGGCATTGCCATGTCAGTTCAAGCGAAGTTGCTAACTTGATTTTCCACCGCATCCCTCCCTGCGAAGGGGGGGGCAGCAGCCGTCACAGACGTGCCCGGACCTATCCCGGAGCAGGGCCGCACTACAATGGAAAAATGAGGCAGAGTAGTATAAGGGCGGTGGAGAGGGACAGCACACACACACACACAATTGTTGTTGTGGCATCGAAGGCTTGCGCATTTTGCGTAGCACCTCTGCCTAGGCATGAGGCTTTGTTCCAGCTCGTCCGCTTTCTGCTTGTGTGGGTCCTGTGTGCGGATACTTTCTCTGGCACTGGCCGTGGAGTCCAGCCTAAGCACGCACGAGTTTTAGTTTACAGTCGCCCGTTGTGTTTTCCCCTCTGTCGCCTCCTCTTCCTTCGTCTCCTTCCCCTCCCCTCTCGCCTCCTCTCGTCGTGTGGTGTGTGAAGATGGTACCGTTGACCGTTAGGTCCTTATGGGATATTCGCATGCAGCACGCGCGCGTCCTCTTCCAGGCCACGGCTCAGTACATGAGTTTGCCGATCGCAGGTCGGCTTGTGTGGGGTTCAAAGATGTCTTGGTGACCTTTTGATTCACGCAGCTGTTGAGGCCGAGTCGTATCAAGTCATGTGGTCGCGCTCCCTCCCTCCTCTTTACAAATATGTTGCCACTTTTCATCACTCTCCTCCTATTCATACGACTCCTTTCCGTTCTGCTTACTCGCTCTTATCATCCCCCTTGTGCTTGCTCTTGACATTGCGCGTATTTGTTCGCCCGTGGCGCGTCGCCATTCGACTGCAGCCGCCACTTCAGTGTGGAGGACAGGTGAGGCAGACCGCATCCAGGGGCTTTCCCTGGGGCAAAGTAGGATGTGAGTCGCCCTCGATCATGGCGAACGGCGGGCCTAACCCGTCCAATCCCCGTTTTCCTCCTCCTCCTTCTCCTCCTCCTCTTCATTTTCCTCTCTGCCTCCTACTCCTCCTCCGCTTCCTCCTCCGTAGCCATTTTGGCTCAAGCCATTTTGGCTCAAGCGCGAGGGAGGTTCCGCTTTGAGGCCACTCTCCAATCCAGTCCTCTGGTACCGCTGATCCGAGGACATACCCCAACTGTTTGTTGCCTTCACCGCGGGAGTTGGGCACCCGCTCAGTCTGCTCTGCTGATGCCCGATCGTGAGAAGAACGATAAGAAGTCAGAAAAGAAGGAGAAGAAAGATGGCAAGGTCAAGAAGGGTGGCAAAAGCGAGGGCACCCCTGCCAGACGTCGCCAATGTGCTGCTCGCTCTCCTTCTGCTGATGCTAGCGGCAGGTTGTCCCCTATTTCAGCTGTTTCATTTCCGCCTCGCATGCCGCGTACCCCTCGTGGTGCGTCGGGACGCGGTCGGAGAGAGGACACGACCCTTACGCCTGGGCAGAGGTCGCGCAGCAGCCGCGGTGGAGGACCATCGCCTGGCCCAGTGTCCCGTGGAGATGCTCGGTCCCAGGCCGCTGCTGCCACCCTCCAGGAGACGGAGCTTCTGGAAGCACTGGACGCTGCCCCTACGTTCCCTTCGCAAGAGTTCAGCGGAGGTCTCGGCGGCGCTCTCGCCGTGGGTGCTGGACCCCAGTCTTGGCCTGCTCCACCACCTGTCCATCACCTTGCGGGGTGCTGGCGTGGTCAAACAGGTGGCCCTGGCGACGGTGCAGGTGCTGCAGCAGCCGCGGCTCCGCCCGCTGCTGGCGGCCCCATCCTGGACCCGTGGGCGCAGGCGAGTGC